TTCTTAGGGTTTATTTGTATATATTTGACTGATATTACACCTATTCTAGAAAACTCGAAGTTGGTGTGCAGGTGAGCCAATTGTAGTAGTATACCGCTAAAGTCCGTGATACTCTTCCTTAACCCAGAAAATTCCCATAATTTTTAGGGCTTTTTTTTTTTACCGAAGATGTCACTGAGACAAGCTTCCAAGAAGAATATCATAAAGCACAAGTGATCCAGAAAAACAACGAAAGGAAGGTTTCACAGCCTCATCATTCATCCATTCTATTACAGAACGTCTTGTCATAATCTATACACCTTCAATACCCCTTCCAAATAACCTCGTCGCACTCCGGATGCTTAAACGCCCCATTACACAACTCATACTCATACTCAAGATCTGGCTGAAACTCCCAATACAAACTCTCAGCATCACTCCCCATCCTAAACGTATATTCGGCCGCCGCATCCTCGACATAAATCTTGGGAACGCCATTCGCAGCAGCAGCCTCAACCTGCAGCTGCACCTCACACGACCGCTCCATAAGCGTATACAAATAAGCAGCCTCATCAACCGTATCACCCACAGTCTGTGTATTTCGCCGTTAGTACCAGAAAAAAAAACATGGAACATGCCTGTAAAAGGGACGGTCAGGGTTCCAACTTACCAGCAACCCATGATTTCTTAAAATCAGACCCTTGCCCTTTGGCCCCAGCGCAGCAGCCAACCGCTTCCCCTCCGCCTCATCAAACACAATACCGCCGAAATCCCGGTACACAGCCTGTGCGTCGCCGTAGAAGTAGCAGACGTCCTGATTGATCATGTCAAGAGGCTTGGCAAAGGCGCTCCAGGCCTTGCCGGCGGTACCGTGGCAGTGGCACGCAGCGTTGACATCGGGCCTTGCCTTGTGCACAGCCGAGTGAATGAGAAAGCCGGCGGCGTTGGCGGGCCTGCTGCGGTTTCCGCCGACGACGTTGCCGTCGTAGTCGACGAGCACCATGTCTGCGGCTGTGAGTAGGCCAAAGTGCTTACCGAGCGGGTTGGTCCAGAAGGTGTGCAGGTTTTCCGGGTCGCGCACCGAGATGTGGCCGCTCATGCCTTCGGTGAGGCCTTTTCGGGCGAACACGCGGAAGGCGCCTGGAATTAGTGTTATTATTTATCTTGGTTGCATTGCATGAGGGCTGCGTGAGAAGGTGTACCGACCGGCCATGTGGGAGAGGATCCATGCCCGCTGTTTGTCAAACGAGGAAAAGAGAGGGACGCTGGGAAGACACACGCCTTGGGATATGGCTTGCAGCGGCGTCAATTCTTTGGATGCATCGTGCTTGGAATGTGGTACCAGCTGCTTGGATTGCGGCGTTGGTGTTGCTTCGGCTGGGATGGCGGAGGGGGCCATGGCGGTGGTAGATGCGATGAAGAAAGTTACTACTACAATCCGTGATGAGTAGAAAAGCGAAAATCTTCGGAAAGTGGGTGCTAAATTAGAGTCCGATCGGGTCAATGCAGCGGAGATGATGGCTTCTTATCTCAACTCGATCAAATCCTTCTTCGCTCAGTAAGGCGTGTACATGCGAAGTAGTAGTTGCATATCCACCGGCCCGGTTTCAACTCGTGGCCACCACCTGCGGGGTAGTAGCCGGCCTTGCGTACCTGAACGACCACTTTTCTTCGCTCTTCTCCGGTTTACAGCGGACAACACCACATTGTCGCCTTGAAACTCCACTCGGCATTGTCATCGGTATGAACCTTTCCGGTCAAGATACTCTTTTTGATTTTTTTACGTACATTCCATTCCTCGTACTGTTCCGATGCCAACGTTGTCCAGCCGGCCGGCAAACACACAATCATTCGTGCCATGTGTACTCATCGTAAAAGAATAAAAGAATTCATATAAATTAAGAAAAGGGATTAGTATGTGTTTTTTTTAGGTTCAGCAATCCAGGTCTTCGCTTAAAAGCCAGTAGCCCGCCCCTGGGCCTAGCAATGGTGTAAAAGTATGAAGAAATTATAAACAGTTGTTATATCTTACAGTAGTCCCTTAATCCTGAATCTACATCTTTCCACCAGGGAAGCTCGAAAGCAATCCCATATCGAACTTGGCAGCCTGCGGGCACCCCAGGGCAGCAAGAACAGGATCAAGCACAGTCGTCAACTTGCGCACCGCAAGCACAACATTGCCAAGCAGGCCATCGAGGATATCCGGTGTGGCAAACTGTACAAACTGGAACGCAAAGCACATAGCATTGTTGCCCTCAAGCAGCGTCTCCGCGTTGAAAACACCGCCAGTCAAATCCGCGATGTTGACACCAGTAAATGTGTTGGGCTTGCCCGTGTTGCCGCCAATAACAGCCATGTAGGGCAGTGCCTGTAGCGCGCGCACAGCATCAAGGGCGAAAGATGCAATGCCGTATTCATCACCGATAGCACGGCGGTAATACTACAATCAAATGTCAGCAAGCAGCTCCTATTCAAGGCTCCTAATTCAGAGCGCCAAGAGATCGTAAAAAAAGGCAACATACATTGTCGGGAATCCTCTCACGACCAGACGCCCACTTGAAACTGCCCCGCTCTCCCGTCACGCCCTCAAACGACTTGAGCGTCTCCAGATCGAGATATCCATCTGGGTACTCGGCGCTGTGGTTGCGGAAGAAGTGGTACGTGAAGAGATACGTAGCCGTGTTGATCGCAAAGTGCGTAAACGGCCCAGCAAAGTACCGCCCATTAGTCGCGATAGAGTTGTTGAAGCGAGAACCCCGGAAGGGATGCATGACGGTAAGATCGTATCCATTTGGACCGAGGGGCATGGCAGCCAGCTCCTCAAACTGAGCCAAGTTGAGGGAATCGGTGTCGCCACTAGCATATTCACCACACACACATTAGCCATACCCCTCACTCACTTCATTCGTCAAACATCCAACTGATGAGAAAGAAACAGGGAAACAAAAAGGGGAAAAAAGGGGAGAGGGGGATGAATAACGTACGTCTTGTACAAATCCGCACGCGTAGGCGAGCAATCCGCCTCAAATCGATTATGCGACGCGCTGAGACCCTGGGGCTCACCAAGAAGGCCAAGCGACGACGTCGCGGCGGTAAGCAGGCCGCCGCTCTTGGGCTTACCGCCAATAGACACGGTGGTGAGATCGCCGGCGACGAGGCCCGAGTAGACGGATAGGAAGGCAGAGAGGTCCGTTGCCATGCCGAAGACTATTCATCCTCTATTAGCATATCGAATCGGGAGGGGGGGGGAGCTTCTCGCTGGATTTTGGACGTGGAGAGAGGGATGAGACGGACCTTGGGTAGATGCAGTCGTCAAGTCAAGCACCGATGCAACACCGGTTCGTGAGATGTACCCATGGTTGGCGAGGACATTGAGACCAGGACAGGGTCCACGGATGTCGTTTGGTCCTGGTGCTATCTATTCATTGTCCTCGTCAGTTTACTACCATTTCTCCCCTTTCTCCATCCCCCCCACTTCAAAGAAAAGGGGGGAAGAAGAAAGAAGAACAAGGAGGAGGGGAACTCACATATTGATGCGCCCCTGTAGTGTCTACACGCTGCGCATCCGCATCGAATCCGGGCTTGACAAGCCCGAATCCCAACTGTCGCTTTTCAGACGCAGCAGCAGCCTCGCGCTCGATCCTGGCTACGATACTGTTGATTTCTGCAAGCGTCTCGCTGCTGATGTCGCCGTTGTTGAGTAAGTTGGCGGGGAACGCTACGGCGGCCGTGATACACAGCGATGCTGTGTATAGAATTGACGTCTTCATCTTTCTGTTGTCGGTTGTCCAAGCCACTCTCTTTCTCTCCTTTGCTACAAATACCCGAAAGTGCAAGGAAAAGATACACCAGTTACGTTGAGTAGGATTGTGTGTGTGTGTGTGTGTGTGTGTGTGTGTGTGTGTGTGTGTGTGTATTACAACAAACAAAGATTCCGAGAATCCAGATATCCGCAGGGATGCGTTGTTATCTGTGTGTATTAAAGAGAGTGTAGTATAACGAATCTTGCTGGGTTTTTCCAATCCCAAAAAAAGAAAGAATCCGTAAAACCATTGTCCCTCATCTCCATCTCTTTCCACCCTATATACCCTAATGCCCTCATTCGCCTCCCCACCCCCAGACCGTAAACTCAAACGCTTATGAACAACCGAGTCATGTCCCATTAACCTCCCCTGATCTCCCCCGAGCCCTGAATCGCGGCAAAAAAATGGTCTTGATACCTACCTATCGCAAGGAAACCCCAGCCGCAACCCCACCCCCGCCGATCTCGTGTTGCAAGGCGCCATGAAAGCGTGGATTGGTAATTTACCTGATTGGCTCGTCTACCCGTGTAAGCCGTCGATATCGTGTGTGTGTGTGGNAGGTGGGTCGGGGGGGGGGGAGACTTGATAAGATTGGATTGGGGGGGGCAGTTACTAGTTACAACAGGGACTACAATTCGACGGGGATCAGCGGGGGGTAAACGGAGAGAAAAATAAGGGAGTGGACTGTGCTTTTTTGAGGCACACGAAATTCGGCGCCTTAACTTGTTTGGTAGCACGTAAGCCACAGCAGAGTTTTAGGATTAGTGCGTATTACGGAAGTAATGAGCGGTCGGTTTCCGTACGTACTTGGGTAAGAGGGTTTTTTTTTAAAAAATATCCGGACTAAAGTAGGAGGCTTGGGACCATGTGGGTTAGTGGGTGCTAGAAGGAGCCAAGATCGCCCCTTGCTTGGTTTGCGCGTGATAGGGAGATGAAAGAGGGGGTTCTTCTTGTGATTGTTTGCCGAGTTTTTGCCGGAAGGTTTGAAGGTTTCTGGGATTTTTGCTTGGTTGTTGACTTGGTGTCGCGCCAGAGGTGTTCTGGAGGAGGGGAAGTAGAGGCGCTTGTTAAGCATGTGAGCGGTTCCGATGAGGGGGACGGAAGGATGGTTCCTTGTTAGCATGGAATAATGGTGGAACGAAAAAAAAAGCAGATGCAAAGGCGTTAGATGTATAGTAGTAGTCGAATGATTAACATTATGACGTCGTAACTCGTGCTATTTTCTATGGATATGGTTGGGGGCCTTTTCTTTTCGCTCCAGCGCAGCCGTTGACTGCTCATTCGTTTTCGGAACCCATTTTTGACCCAAAAGAGATGATGATAAGGAAAGGGTATCATAAACGTGTATGCGGTCGATGTGGCAATCCTTCTTCTAGCGAATTCATAGATGCGGGAGATGCCAGAGTGACTCGTCCTGTGACCTCGTCGACGACAAGGTTGTCCATCTCCATATACGCTTCTTGTCGCTTTCCGTCCACATCAACTAATGACTCTTCGCTAACGTTCGTAGTGCCATCCACGTTTGACCGCCGTTTGTTTGAGCATGAGCTTGTGGCTTCAATCTTGGTATTCTTAGAACCCAGTTTGGACGCATGTGCTGAGTTCATGCCCGATAGGTTTGAAGCCTGGCTCTTGAACCTCCTTTCTCGCGACGAGTTTTGGTATGAGCTAATTACAGTGGTAACGGCTTGTCTAAAGAAGACTCGGAGTACAGGTATTGACGTGGCGACAATGGCCATGGCAGACTCTGCTGACGACCAGATGACAGTGTTGGTGGCGTCGTCTATATACGTCAGCCAAGTTCAGAAAAGTACATGTTACGCAACCTACACGAGAGATCTAGTTTGGTCAGTAACTCGACATATCGAGCTCGAAGGATTGCGGTCACTCCTGCTCTTTGATCTGGTTAGCAGAACCCAGATGGTTCGTGATGAATGGCTTACAATACTCCCAGACTCATGGCAATGCAGACACCAATCTTCTCCGCCGGGCGCATCTGCAGATTCCAAATGATTTTCCAGGGAATGAGTGCTAGAGAAATGTCCATGATTGCAGACCATACTAGACATGGTATTAGTACACAATCCTGACGCATCACCAAGGTACTACCAACTAGCTTGAAATCGTCCATAGATGACAGACGGATGCTTATCCATACATGTGCCCGGTATGATGTCCACAAAGGTCTTTGTCAACGGCTTGCAAAGGACCCAAGGAAGGATGCAGGTCGGTATGGCGAAGATGACGAGGGTAGTCATGGCAAAGCACACATACGCCTTGATCCATCCTTCAGTCAAACGAAATAGTGTCACTCCGAACGATATCTTGCTGAGGGTGATGGCAGTTGTGGAGACGGTAAGGCCGGTTGCGCCAAGATAAGTGATGGTCTCGAAATGGCTGAAGTCAACTGGTGGAAAGGAGTCAGCCAGACCCTCGGTATCACATGCGTCTCTCATGCAGCTTCTTACTATCAAGCGAGTGTTTTCCAAAACCTAGATTTACACTCAACTGATTGAGGATGGCTTGACATAGCAAGAATAACTGCAAGTTGTGCGTCAGTCGTTTTCTTTGGGTAGAGGTTTTGTCGTTGCTTACCCAGCTGACAGTAAGGATTAAGCTGTCGTACCACAACTTGCCTTGGTTTTTTTGAATCGCCAGCCGAAGTGCGAGAAAAAACCCGGCGACCCCGCAGAGCGACCACACAGTGATGCTCATGAGCGGGCCATGAGTCTCCGCTGGGTTACTGACCCAGTTCTGCAACTGCGTTGACATCCTGGGTGTGCAGAGTGAGCCAGGCCTGGACAAATGCGCTTCCCCGGCGATCAGGCTGCGAGGAGACCCTCAGTTGGGACAAAGACTTGGAAAATACGGGTAGCGATCGCATGTACATGTAACAATTGTTGGGTGAGGGTTACACGACATGAACGATGGATGCCGCCGACACCAACTAACCGTCCTCCCCGTTACCAGTCCCTAGCTGCCGGAATGGTTTCTGCCCGAGCCCACTCTCTAGATTCGGAAGTTTACTCGAGAGGGTGGATGCCAAGGGCCGTTGGATTCCATTTTGTGCGGATGTGTCCACCCCTCCCAATGGGGTTTGCCATTTTGTCTCCGTTACGGGGCAGCGTCGCATTTTGATTATCATCAAGGACTTGGCTGATTAGGACCGACTCATCACCCTTTGGCCTGCAGCAGGTGATCTAGACTGCCTTCCTTGTTCCTGCCTTCAGGGTTGGGCAGTTAACAATGACTCGTATAGTGTGGGCTGGCTCGCGGCCCGCTTGTAGATCAGGCCCACAAACAACCGGCCTAGCCCTTGGGCTAAGATCGCGCTCATGTGCCCGACACTGCCGTCAGACTTGAGTCGTACATTAGATAGAGTTTGCAAAAATCAGCGAGAGTTGCAGATCAGTGTCTCTTGAACTTTAGTCAACGACGCCCGCTGTTGAATGGGAAATAACTCCCAGACATTGTAAAGTCGCGTCACTAGCCACGTCGGAGTCGTGAAGGGACACGGCCCTGTGATGGCAATCAGTGACATTGCACATGAATTTAGTGGCCACATAGTGTCTACTGCTTTTGACCGTCATGGCCTACCCTGTTTGGATTTTGCTTGAAGTTGTTTGATCATTACGCCTGAGTCCTTGGCTGCGTCTCAGTAACAGCCACAAAATCACAGCCCTATAATGGTTCAAGGCTGAGTGGGCTGTGGGTCTATCGCGTGCGACGGCCAGGATAGCGACTGTCTACCATGACCATGGCACAGTAGAAGCGAGTAATATCCTCGAGCCCAGTTGAGCCATGATGCCTTGGCAGCATACCATGCGTGGTACGAGAGGTTTGTTGATTGGTGTGGGTAGATCTTGGTAGATCTGGTGGGATGTTGCCCTCAACTGGGTGTTTACGAGTTGGAAGAGTCTTGTAGGAAGATGGTCGAGTGTCCATAGCGTGGCCTATATGTGACAAAACTTGTTGCTGCATATATTGAGCTGTGCGATCCGTGCACATGCTGCATGTTGCTAGGTGATGGTCCTTGGCCTCATTGGTTCCTTAAGCTCCGATCAGCCTCCTATGACGGCAAAAAGCTTTTGGCGCTCATGGCTTGCAGCTTCGGTACTATATGCCGTACCCATCCGTTCTCTAGGGAGAAGGTCCGAAGAAGACGCCATCATTGTGCCCGGCGTTTTCACTACAACGTTACATGGGGAATAACTGTGCTGTATGTCCGACACGGTGCAATACCGACTCCTCGGAACCTACCCACAAACTTACCTGCATTCACTGATCGTGAAACCCCGGCACTGACATGCTGCGCACATGGCACGCCGCCTTCATCCGCCGGCTAGTCAGCACAATAACCTTTTGGCATCAAGTGACACGAGCCGCCGCCGTGTTGCCCACCCACTACTAGAAACCAATCTTTATACAAAACCAATTCATCGCAGCAAACACAGTAGCCTCACGCATTTGCTGCTCTTGAGATTGTCGCTTTTGGGGGACTACTACACTTAGAAGAACATTTGCTTGTGCAGAGTCAGAAACTCGGTCTCGTGAATAAAAAAACAACACGACAAGAAACCCGTTCGTTCTTGTCAAGCCATGTCGGACACTTCAAAACGTCCTGGAGCACCAGACAGCCACACCATGTGACTTTGATGGGGCCTGCTGCATTACCCGTGCGTCGAGTCATGAGATGGAGTCTTAAGGCTGGAGAACTTAAAACAGTGGACCGACATAGAGTGGTCCACTTCGCTGTGGGAGCATTGGATAGGACACAGCAACCCTCACACTGCATGTCAGGATTCATGAATCGTCACTTCTGATCCGATTCAATCCGATCCGATCCGATCCTTTGTGGCTGAGTTCCATACATCAGGCCTTTCATGCCATGGTTAGTTCAATGTTTCAGAGCGTCATTGTCCATAATTTTTTGATTCGTCTATCGTGAAAACTCGTCATCTACTACGCCTCACCAAGCCGCAATACTCCAATGCGCAGCTTAGCAAACCGCATGCGTCTTGCCGGTCTTGGCCTGCAGACTATGGTTCTCTTCAAAATGATCTGTCGCCTTCTTTTGGAAGACGGGGCTGACGAGCGTCGACCGGCGGCGCATCGCGAACTGGTGCCTATGTCCGAGTCAGCATGTTTCCAATCAAGACTCCGTCATCAGTTGCCAGAAGAAAAAATACTTACTCCTTGTGCTCTTGGATTTTCTTGGCGTCGAGTGCGTCAAGCGTTTGCAAGGCCAGCTTGAAGTCTGCAATCAAAGCGTCGCATCGTGACTTGGTAAAGTCCTCACGAACAACGACACGCAACATCTTCATCTTCTCCGAGTGAGGAGCCATAGTGTAGGCGGGTACAACCCATCCACGCTCACGAAGCTGGTGCGCAATGGCAAACTCGTCGTACTGCTTGCCAAGATCCTCGTCGATGCGGCATGCAACAAGAGGGAGTCCTTCTCCTCCGCGTTGGCTCATGATGACAAAGCCCATGGATTCGAGGTTTGCAGCTAGGTAGTCAGCAGTGCGCGTCAGGTTCAACATTATCCTCCTGTAACCACGCTTTCCTAGACGGATGAGTTGGTAGTATTGTCCGATAATCTGCGAAGCGCCACGCGAGAAGTTGAGCGTGAAGGACGCCTGGTCGGCGCCTAGGTAGTTGATGTTGAAAACGAGTTCTTGGGGCAGATACTGGGGATCGCGCCAGACGACCCAGCCAACACCGGGGTAAACGAGGCCATATTTATGTCCTGAGGCATTAATGGTTGTGACCTTGGGAAGGCGGAAGTCCCAGAGAAGCCCGGGGTTGACAAAGGGAGCAACAAAGCCACCTGAAGCAGCATCGACGTGGATGTTGACATCCATGTCTCGCTCGACCAGAAGGTCATTGATGGCTTTGATGTCTTCGTATTCGCCAGTGTATGTTGTTCCAAGAATTGCGCCTGATGATTTGTCAGTGGTGGATCCTACACCGAAGTCTATACATAGATTTCATACAAATTCCGATTGTGTTTTCGTCACACAGATCTACGCATTCCTTGGGGTCGATGACATAGCGATCAGCTGTGCAGTAGACGTATTTTTCTTCAATGTCGAAGTATCGGCAGGCTTTCTGTGAGTCGTTAGCGTTTCCCGACTAGCAACAGTGGTCCATCAGCCAAACATCCAGATACTCACCTCCCAGCAAACCTGCACAGCGGAGTTCATAACCATGTTGGGCTTGTCGTATGGCTTTCCCTCTGCCTTTCGTTTGTTTTGCCACAACTTCTTCATGGCCAGCACTCCCAGCTAGGTAGTGTTAGTCGCAGACTCCTATTTCTGCTCATTTCAACACTAACCATAATGGCTTCTGAAGATCCAATCGTCGAAGTACCGATAATGTTTGCATCATCTGTGCTTGGAGCGTTGAAAAGCCTGGCAATCATAGAGACACATCCTAATACAGCTCAGTCCTTGTTATGACGATTTCTGCCGTGCTCTGAAGACACGTACGGTTTTGGATGTCGGCGCTGACGGGGTATTCTTCGTAATCGATGAAGTTCTTGGAGAAGGCGTCGCTAGACGATACGGTTACTTTGGTATTCTCGATAAGAGGTCATTGTGGCCATACACCATGAGTTTCTCAACTTCCTCCTCCTGCGAGTTGTGTTAGCGTCGAATGGCTGCAGGAATGTCATGGGGGGGTGCATACCATGTATGTGGTGACGAAAGAGGCCAAGTTCAGCGTTGGTGTTCCGTCGAGTGTGAGATCGTCCTTGATCATCCGGTAGGCCCTAACGAGACATGAGCAACTTGTCCAAAGCTGCGGTTATGAGCGTGGTGGTACATACACCTGAGGGGGCATTTCCCGCTCCTGTATCTGGTCAGTGTGCTGTACTTGGCAATTCGTATTGTCTGGACAAACTTACCGGCATCTCATACTTTGGGAGATCCTCGGCAGCATACTTGCTACCATAGACGGTGGCAGTGAAGTCATCAACCTCATCGTCTGGGCTCAAGTTGATGGTGCTTGCAGTAGCAATGTCGTCGAATTGAGCCTTCTCCTCGGAAATCTCCTTGAAGGTGGCTACGCGGTTGATGTGCACCATGTTGAGATATGTGAGGGGGAGTGCTGGAGGGGAGTGCTGGAGGGGTAGAAGCTGGTGGGCAGGAGACAAGGCAGCGAGGGGGCGGGGAAGGCGCAGCTTAATATGGCTCAAACACCAAGGCGCGTAAGCAGCTACGTAGCTTCGACGGGTAGTAAGGAATCAAAGCCCCCAATCCCATTGTGCATTCTAGTCTCCGGTACAGCTCAACAGCACAGCGCAGCAGCGCAGTAATGCAGCCCCCACCATGGACGGCACGCGCTTATCCCAATGTGATGTGGCCGGCCATAGGCCAGCATGCAAGCCAACGCTGTACGACGCGTCAGTTACGAGCCAGACCGCTATCGAGCCAGGATACGTGTAGCTGGGCATTTGCCATAGAGCCCCTGGCATATCCTCACCGTCGTCCCGAGGGGCAGCGGGTAAGACGATGAATTGCAGTCTGGCACAGCGGCATGGCGGGGTAGTAAGTAGTAACACGGGCCTGGCTAAGCATTTGGCCTCGAAAAGCTTGTCTTTGGCATCACACCAAAGTGTCCTCACCGCCCTTCACCCTTTTAGCCCATTGGGGTCATGGGCTAGCTATCTTGGGGCGGCTAGTAGCGGGGTGTCATGGACAGGTGGGGGGTGGGGTGTTTGGCCAGGTACAATTGTGCACCTACGCACACGTACCGCGTCATTGTCACTGACTCTCTTTGGATGTATGTATCCGCCCACTCCCGCCTCCACATCTTCCTTACACATAGTACACGTAACACAACACATCTAGGCCGATGCGATAAGACAATGGTACGTTCAAGTGTGCACCTAGCCTATTGGAAGCCTCTGCACATCGACGCGTCTGGCTGAATGTACTCGGTACCATCTATATTAAGTGTACAGTATATATATATATGTATGCAAAACCATAGCCTTGCACCTGAGCTACAAAGACGTATATCCTCATGTACTTCGTACGTCTGATTAGTTTTTGTTGTCGCAGAGCTGAAAGAGAAAAGAGGCTCGGGTGTTGCCGCGGGCGCCCCGGACCCCGAGGCGCATAAGCAGAATGGCCGTTGGCTACGACACTGCCTCATTGGTGCCGAGTCTAGTAGTAGCAGTAGTAGGCTGGGCAGTCCACTTCTCTCTACACCTGTTTCACCGAACACGAACTCTCCAAGGTCAAGCAAATTCCCTCTCCAGTCTTGACCGACATATTGCTTCCGCCATCCGTCTAGCTGTGCCATGGCAACAACTGAAGCGGTACATGTGGCCACGTACTTGTTCTTGCACACCGTCCCCTCAGCCTAGCAAAACACACATGTACTACCTGACACGTATGCATTCCCTCTGCAAAGTGGCCTTGTCTGTTCCTTGGAAGCTGGGTAGAGGCCAATGGTTTGGCAATTGCGAGTTTGTCTAGTTGGTACTGTGAGATTGCGCCCTTGGGCTGTATTCGGGCTCCTGTAATTCCCGCAGCATGCAGCAACCTCTTACAAAAGCCAGGCGTCTTTTGTAACGACTAGTTGCCCGAGACCATCTCGCTTGATCCTCCAGTACCATGTGGGCAACAGGAAGCGGATGCATGCAGCCGAAAATGGACCCTGTTCGTACATGATCTACATTGCCCCTCTTCCCGTCTTAGATGATATTCGCTATGCTGATACGACTTGTGCTTGACGGTGCTGGACTGGGACTTGATAGGCTCTTTGGCGGTGAATACGTGTCGGGTGCAAGTTGCACTCGTTTGACGGGATTGTGCACTGGTGGATAATAAGCTGCCGGCTGCGTATTTCGGTGATGGCGTTCGCCTCTTAATTGCCGCACCATGTGCTCAATCCGGCCCCAGTCATTCCATTCCGCGCTTCCATTCGACAATGCATTGGGTGGTGGCGGTTGTGAGCATAACCCGTCTCGCATTGCTTCGTCGCCTCCCGGCGATGCCGTAGCGCCAGGTGCCGAGTCCTGGCCCGACACAGAAACCATACTGGTGCCTGCCCAGACCCAAGAATGCTCCAGACTGCCTTGTATGTCAGCACTGAGGTATGCAATCATCTCCTCGTCGTGTTCCAGCTGTTTGCCGTTGCCGCTGCAGTTGCGTGTTCGGTCGAATAGCCGCTCTAGAAAGAAGGCAATATTCTTGCCACAAGCAGCGTTAATCTTGCGTGTGCTGCCAATAGCTTCGGAGAGATGCAAGCACACCAGGGCTGCATCATACTCGCCCCGGAAGCATAGTACCAGAATGCATCGCCACAGATGCAGGCATACCGTGTTACTCGCAGCCAATGCCATTCTCTCTGTTCCTGTCTGGCCAGAATTACGGAGTGAAGGGTTGTGCAATACTCTTGACACATACTTTGCCGTGTCCTGGGCAACAGAGACGCATCGTTCCAATGCATTGGCTCGGCCCATAGCACTCGACAATGGGCTGAGGTTCCGCCGGTGGAGATGGAATCGAGCTGAGAGTAAGACGAAAACTGTTGGCAACACCTTTGCGTCGAGCAGTGCCCCTGAGTCTGGCTGGTGGTTTTCAGGTAGGAGTAGCAACTTTGAGCGAAGCTGTCCATCGAAGCTTTCCGCTGTTTGTGCGAGTATAACGCTGGACTTTAAAGCGTGCTGTAAGGGGGCGTAGAGGCGCGTGATGTGTATTGTTGCCACGAAGCCAGTAAAATGGGAAGGTTTTGTCGAGGGACGGAAGGGCTCATTGGGCTGTATGTAACGATCGTCGACTGATGATGGGAGCGAAATCTCGCAGTCGTTCTCGTTGATCAACATTGGACGATTCGTCTCGAGTGACATGATCCTGCATCGCTGTCAGTCCCTGGAATAGTTTCACGTCAGATGGACATATTTTGCTCACCTGTCCCGAACGTAGATAGACCACCAAAGTCTGCGTCGAATTTCGCCGTCGAAGGCAGACCAGCAGTCCATTTCAGGACTGATCTGTAGTTCTTGTGCAATTCTCACCGCAGACGCAAGCCAGATGGAGCCGAGGGAGCGCTGGTTACTTTCTGTCGCAAATATGCTTAGCAACAAAGCTGCCTGAGCATGTGTAATGCTAAGCTCCTGTGTCCAGGGCTGAAGAGCAGACACTGCAGTCTCAAACATAGCCTGGCCTTCTGATAGCACGTTGCAAGAAACATTGTGCTCTGATCTAGGATGTAAACAGCCACAAGCCAGTACTGCAAAGAACAAGCCAATCCAATCCCGAGAGCAACCTTGAAAGCTGCGTGCGGCATAAACCTCGTCTGCTTTGTGCTGAAAAGTAGGCCAATGTAATGCAGGATACCAGTCGTGTACCGTATCGAGGAAGGATCGAGAAAAGTACGCATAGTCGGCGCGCAAAGGCACCGCAGGCAGCGGCCAATTCGGTTCCGTATTCCGCAAGACGTTTTGGTGGGGCATGTTGAATATGTCGCGAGCATGTTCTCTGATGTTACTGCGAACGTGGTTGAAGTTGTCGAGGATTGGTACACATATCTGCCGTGGTCCTAGTACCACTCCAGTGTGTACTTCGGAGTGTCTCCGTTTCATGTCTGTTCGCTCTCCGTCCATGGAACTCTGGTCAGATACTTTGTTTCGTAGCTGGGAATTTACATGAGTCAACTCGGCAATTTGACTCTGTAGGTCCTGGACCTGCCTGTGCATAATGAGCATTTCCACCACAAACCTTTTTGTACAGAATGACGCGTACTTACTTGATTGATGACATGCGGCGATTCGTCTCCTTGGTGAACTGACACCGATGATTTCGGCTCGAACATTCTGAACATGCTGAGGTCTCGGTAGCATCGCACTGCAAAGATGGTCAGCCAAGTTCGACAAAGGCCCCAATCCGCCTGTTCAAGCCATGCGTACAATAATGTACCTTCGCTGATTAGGGGCCGCAGATGCCTTAGAGGGGCATTGCCTGCTCAACGTGCGGAGATGGACAGCGGACATTTTGGATAAGTGCATAGACGACTACGACACAAGCCACAAAGTCTTCCCCTTGTCTCCAAACAGCTAATATCTTGCTCGCATTCTTCCGGGGAAATTTGGGTCAAGGTGTGTGTGTGTGTGTGTGTCTGGGTCAAATGCAGTCGCTGCTATGATTTACAAACTCACCTTGACTTTGCGTTCTCGACATGCATCGCATGAAGGGTCTTTTCTTCGCTGCCTGTAGGCTCTCTTCTGCGCAGTTAAGTTGGTAGAGGGTATTTGGGTGGGAGAGATGACCAAGGCACTGCTATCGTGGCGTTGAATGTCGGGCAAGCCTGCAGAGGCAGCACTCGGTGAGGCAGAATGGCTGTAAGAGCTCGAAGGATAGTGCGGTGATCTGGAGCCTGGTTGAGGGATATTCGGTGCAGCAAGCAGAGTCGTCGGACGAGGAGTTTGTTGCGCCAGGGCAAAGGGATTGGGCACAGGCGTCATGGTTGTTGGAGATGCTCCGTTTGAGCTTGTGGAAGACTTGTGCATGGCTAGCAGCACAGGAGCGGGGAAGCAGTTCGGATGCTCCGGTCCAAACTTTGATGAGTGATGAGGGCCCGTAGACAGGATGCTGTGGCTGTAGAGCAGTCAATAGTTACGGCAGCAGCCGATGACGGCAAGCACTGTCGAGGTCCCAACGATTGACCACCTCGTGGCACCACACAGAAGCAGGCAGCCAATGAGGGTGGCTGTCAGCAGCACATAACGTAGCCGAGCGTGAGGCGGCGAGATGCGCAATGTGATGGGAGTGTGGATGGATGAGACGATCAACGGGCCCTTAGTCCAGAGTGGGGGACCCGTACAGGTAGAGCGGAAGGATTGGTAGCTGGTAGTAGAAGAAACAATCCGAGGCGTAGACCTACACAAGCTGGATGCGCGGTGGTCGGGCGGTGTTCCGTGTCGCTTGATGGAGCGCTCCCAGCCAACCGATGGGTGAGTGGGCGAGAAGTCAAAGCTTGGGGTAACAATCGGGAGCAGAGACGGCTAGGGTGGAAAGAACGACCCGCAGCTCCTTCTCTATTAGTTCAACGGCGACCGAGGCCACCGGATATGAGCAAGTGACGGGAGAGAGTCCGGGGGGACGGCAGACAGCGCAGTCAGTGAAGAAGGCTGAGAAAGACGGACCAGGGTGACCAGGGCAGGCGAGAAGTGGACTCGACGCCTCTGTAGGAAGCAATATTCGAGGTGGTGATGCTGCACAGTTGATTAGCCCCAGCCCGGATGGTAATGGTGGAGACCCTGGCACACCTTCGGGGCGCGGCGAGCTGGCAACAAGGTTTATTCGCCGCGGTACTGGTGGATATTGGCTACTACTCTAGACGGTGGGAGTACGGGGGACAAGGGGTAGGAGGGAGGGAGAGAGAATTGGCAGAGGCAGGGAGGGAAGGAGGCAGGTCCGCGGAAGCACATGCAAAAGGGTGCTGGCGCTCGTGGGTGGCTGTTGAGAGTCGAGTAATAGTAATAGGCAAGATTGGGGGAAGGGGAGGGGGGCTCGATGGCCCTTGTCTTGCTTTCCCGGATGGGTTGGCTAGTGTGGTAGTGCGGCAGCAAAAAAGAGAAACACGGTGCTGTTTGGAGCGGCTGACGTAGGGGCAATGGCCAGTAGGAGGGTGGTTTTGGGTAAGTAAGTAGGTATGCAAAGCACAAGAGGCAGCGAAGCTTTTTGCGGGTCTCGAGCGTCACCAAAGTCGAGATATATTCCCTAGGCCTGGGCCAGCGGGTGGGGCAATGGGTGGCATGCAAGCGTGCGGTGCCTGTGTGTTTCGTGAAGACAGCCCAATGGCTCCGTAAAGCGGGTACAGCTGGAGGCGCTTGCTGGATACGGGACGACGCGAAAGCACAAGTCGAGGCTCTAGGACTACACGGGATGCCATCTCCGTGGTCGACTCGGACGCCGATCCGGGCAGACCAGACAGGCCTGCGAGGACGAGACAGTCGGGACTTGTCGAAGCCTCTTGTTCCAGAAGATGATCGGTTCGTGCCTAAAGGGCCAGCGGTCCACAACGCTTCTCCCGAAACGCCCATGGCAAGCGTCTTCGGCGAGATTCCAGCAGGGGCCGACCTGCATGTGGGAATTGAAGGCTTTTCGTTACCGCCTGTCGCCCCGGCCAAGACATGGCAGGGCAGGGCAGGGCAGGGCAGGGCCCGGCTGCAAGGCGAGCACTGTAAGTACGGAAGAGGACTGGCGATGCGTCAGCCAACGGCGCAGGTCGGGCGGACAGGCGAAAGGGCCCATGGGGCGGTGCCTGTGTCAGTCCAGGGGCGGCGGGAGAGCGGGTGCGTGGGCGGGTTTCTGGATCGAATGAGCATGGAGACGGTGGTTCAGCGGAGGGGCCAAGCCACAGCAGAGTTCCAACGGCGGGTGCGCCACAGACGTCAAGCCACCGCGCCCCACCGTAATGCAGTGTCGAGTCTGAGTGCAGGCTGACATTGGCGGCCCCGGTGGCGCCCATTCCCCCCATCGGCCGTCCCATGAGAGACTGCACGCATGTGCATGCGCACGACTGGCGCGTCTCTGAGCCCGCCGTGGACCGGCCCTGCGCAGTGCCGATGCAGATGCGGATGCAGATGCAAGTGCCAGAATAGCCTGTGGGCTCGCTCGCACCGCTGGCCGAGGCGATCCCTGGCCCTGCCCTGCCCGTGCCAGTGCCAGTGCCAGTGCCGACCAGATAACGAAAGCAGCCATGTGCGGACTAGAGCGACCAAGTAGGTGGCTATGTACCGACTAGAGGAACCAAGTACGGGCTGCTATGTATACTTACACCTGCCACGTGAGCACATACTGTAAGTAGATGCATCCATGATTACAACACGTGCAATGTATGTAGTGTGGTCTGGGTGTGCACATGCTATACTTGTCTGCTAGGTGCAATGCACGACTTTTTCTTCTTCTTCTTCTTCTTCTTCTTCTTTTACTACTACTACTACTACTACTACTACTACCACCACATGGTCGTCTGGCACGTACTATGCAAGTACCACCTGCAGAACGTGTTTCCCCACGTTTGGCCTGTCCGCGCCCGTCCCGAGGGCCCCACTGCCATGCTATGCCATGCCCTGTCATAAGCATGCCCTTGCCGTGCCCTGCCGTGCCAACTCGTCTCCTAATTTCCTACATAGCACCATACTCACATACACACTAGTAGCCGTCGACGCTTGCTCGCACGGCATCACCACCACTCAGCCCACCGCTCAGCCTGGCCCCGAGGCGGTGACCAGGCCCTACCTGCTAGCACCAAAGGGGCCCCAGTGTGCCTCCAACTGCCGAACCGCTCGTCTAGACCGGCACGGCGCTGCTCGTTGCCACGTCGAGCTGCCTCTGCCCGTCGCCTAGCACGCGCGCATCCCGAGCCCTACGAGGCGTTCGCCGCACGTCTCAAGCACAGCTGCCATGTTTCTGATACACGCCTTGGCACACCTCCCTTCCCTGCTGCCTTGTTCCCTATTCCCTCCCTCCCTTCTCGCCTCGTCACTCGTCCCTCGTCACACCCGTCGCCTGTTGCCGCCTGCCGTTGAATATTGATTACCTGCACCCATCCTCCTTGGCTGCATCTACCACCTCAACCTGCCACCACGCCAGACAAAAAGGTCCCTTACCCACCCACCATCTGCCAAGCTGATCTCGTGCTGATCATCCATGATTGCGCGGCCCCCCTTGGCCGCCCGGCAGTCTCCGTCTCAGGAAGCCAGCCGAGAGGGGGGCTTTTCGAGAAGGGCCAAGGGCAAGACCAACTTGGTCGAGTAAAACACACCATCTGCAAGACTGCCCGTCGTCTGCAACACAGGCCCCCGCCTATTCTCAAATCGACCATGGTTACCCGAAATGCGCCGTTGGCAGCACACCAACACTTCCCTTCCCCCCCCTAACCCTCTTGCCTTGGCTCTCCCACCGCAGCCGATCGACGCCTTGTCAAGTCCAATTGGACATATTCCGCCGCTAGTCTTGCGCTTGCAAAATCCCCCCCAAAAAGCTTGGTCGTCCGGCGGTGCAGGGAGAATGCCGCAAAGGCGAATCGCGTGCTGAACATTGGTGGCGACCTGCCGACGCGTCCACCAGACGGCATTTGTGCCATGTCGGCGAACGCTCTTACAGCCGCCTAGAAAAGGTATCAATCGACAAAAATGATCGGCAAAAGGATTCAACGTGGTTGCCCCTGCAATATCCGCACTTTTTTCCATGCATCGTCCCTCTTGCCTCACCCACCCCACCCCACCCCACGGCATGCCATCGCGGTATTTGCCAGCCCCCATATCCGCCTCGCGTCATGGCCTCATTTCCCCTCCCGTCCATGGTGCTCGCACGATATTCATGACAAATATCTTGGTAACACACCAGTCATCCCAGCGCGCCTCACAAGGTGAGACCTGTCTTACACTACCAAGGTTGAAGTTGCCACTGTGCAATGACCCGACCGAGTGGCTCAATGAACCCCCCAAACCTTAACTTGACCACCTCCACTCAACCACTCGGAAAAATACGAGACAACCACCATCCACCATGTGGCCTTCAGAACCAGGGACCATTGCTTGTACTTACTGCCCTGCTTACATCCGACCACTAGTCCAAATGCATGACACGATAGGTCTAGGCGAAACGCTGTGCAAATCATCAAACATGTTATAGGGCTGAGATCTTTAGAGCCCAGCATTCTGACATGACACGCACACTACCAATGCTTATTAATGGTTTGACTTTTTGCATGTAGCATATACTGTGCAGTCCACTTTGTGTTTTGTTCCGCCACGTACTTGCAAAAAAAAAGACTCTCTGGAGGTGTTTGGCTGTTTGGAACCATTGCAGCTAGCGTGGTAAACTGCCTCGGTACACTCTTTGCATGGTGAACGACCAGGCCGAGGTCGCGAACAGGGTTGTTGTACTAGGCATGTATTCCACCCTGTCTGTTTCCTTACTTCCCCCCCCCCCTCGCAATCACTCCGCTCTACAAAACATCTGTCACAACTCTAATCCGCACGTGATCATCACCATGGCATCGGCAGAACAAGATGTCCGACTCCAAGACTTTGCCAACATCTTCAGCCTCAAAGGCAAAGTCGCCGTCGTCAGCGGCGGCTCGCGAGGCCTAGGGCTCCACGCAGCATCAGGGTGTGTACCATGCATATTTTTCTGCACGCATCCAAAAATAACCTCACGATGCCCATGATGAACAAACAAACCCTCCATAAAGAGAAAGGAAAAAAAAACTAACTCTCTCCCGCGAAAATCAAAAGTCTCATGCAAGCCGGCTGCTCCAAGGTTTTTATCACCTCGCGCAAGGCCTCGGCATGCGACGCGGCCGCAGCCGCCCTCAACGCTTTGCCAAACAAATCTCCGGACGCAAAAGCCTATTCCGTTCCCGCCGATAGTTCCAAAGTCTCCGAGATCGTCCGGCTGGTGAGCGAGATAGCCAAGCACACAGATCACGTGGATATATTGTTTGCAAATGCGGGGGCCACATGGGGCAGTAGGTTTGACGCCGTCGACGAGAAGAATGGCTGGGACCGTGTCATGGATCTGAATGTCAAGGGTGTATTTTTTACCATACAAAAGTATGTTTCTTTTGTTTTTTTGTCCTCTTCCCTCCCCGGCCTTCTTTATCTTCTCTCCCCCTCCCCACTCAACCCAAGTATGAGGTTCGTCTAGGATTAGAAGCAAGAAAATCTGACAAGGGGAACTGGGTACAAAAAGGAAAGAAAAAGCACGAGCAAAAGAACGGGAGAAACGGAAAGAACCGATTCATGTTGGGGGAAAAAGGAAAAAAATGAAAAAGAAAAAAAAACAAGAGGATTGGGGGACGTTTGCTGACATTTGAGGTTTTTTTTTAGATTCGCCCCGTTGCTCACAAAGGCAGCTTCAGTTCAGAATCCCGCACGGGTGATCGTAACAGGTAGCGTTGCTGGTCTAGGCACTGGCTCTATGGGTGGTGAGTCGGCCGCGTTTTCGTACGCAGTGTCGAAAGCTGCAGTGTTGCATCTTGTGCGTAACCTGGCTGTCGAGCTGGGACCGCGCCACATTCTCGTCACGGGCATTGCGCCGGGCTTCTTCGCGAGCAAGATGACGGATGTGGTGATGCAGAAGGCGGGTGGAGAGGAGGCGCTGGGCAAGGCCACTCCGAACGGACGGGTAGGCAGGCCCGAGGATATTGCTGCCGCCGTCGTGTTTCTGAGCTCCAGGGCAGGAAGCCATGTCAACGGTGACACGATTGTGCTTGACGGGGGGAAGATTCACGGAGGTGTCAAGCTGTAGAAAGTTTTCTTGGTCAACCCAACCAACACCATTCAACAAAAACTCTTCTTTTTTTTTCGTCTTCTTCTTCTTTTTTGTTTTACTCTTCCCCAGTCGGAATCCTCATCCCATGCATACCCGCATACCCACTCTTCTCGGGTCTTTTCCACCCTTTCAACACCTCCCTTCTCACCCCCTCCTCAATCTCCAGCACCTCGACCCGAATCGGCCGACATGTACTCTTCATATCCGGCGCTGACGTCTCACCCTCTCCTTCTTTCCCTTCCTCGGCCTGATGCCACCCCCACGCACTCAAATCCCCCCCAGGACACGTACTCAACGCACACAGCAAATCCTGCTCCGCAAAAAACGTGATAAAGCTCTCCTCAGTCGCCGGACTAGCCTCCATAAAATACCTGCCCTGGTCGTCCAGCCCAGTGACTTGAAATACATTCAGTACGTCATGGACGTCAAACTCGGTGAGGCCAAAGGGCAGCACAGCCCGCACGAGGTTCGAGTGGCAGTGGAAATCGTAGCTCGCGCCCGTAAGCATATGGGATACTATGACTTCATATCAGCCCCGACAATTCCCCCTGTATCTTCATCCCTTCACCCCAACCAAAGGGGAAATCAAAAAAAAAATATTTTACCATAAGGATCACACCTGGTACCCAACAAATCATGACAGCGACCCCCCCACCTCGTCCGTTCCTTAGCCTCGCCCGCATCTCCAACCCTGCGTCTGTCCCCAAGCCGACAGCCATCCTCGACAAGCCCGCAAAGCGGGCGCATAAAGGGCAAGCAACTCCACAGGCGATCCCCCTCGCCCACATGACTACTCTGCAGCTGCCGCGTGCGACTGGCCCAGAAGCGCTCGCGCGGATCGGCTGCGTTCCATATGTTCAGGTCGCCGACTTGCGGGCCCTGCGGCGTAGAGAGCCGGAAGAGGGTGCCGGCGGGGACGCGGAAGGCGTGGGCGCTGCGTGGCGGGATGAGGTGGGTGTGGATGGTGGTGAGGGAGGAAGGGGGGAGGGAGCGCAGGGCTGCGTAGAGGGAGGAAGGGGGGTGGAGGGGGGAGGTGGGCGAGGTGGGGAAGTAGGCTGGAGTTGGGGGAGTGTCGTTTGAGGGGGGCATTGTGGATGATGAAGTGGTGGGTAAGGTGGTGGTGGTGGTTGAGTTGGATGGATAGATAAGATTGATAACAATGGACTTGTGGTTTACGTGGGACTTGGTTTGGATCTGCAGGATTGGTATGTACATATGGATGCGACTCAAAGCCGTTGATAACCGTACATGGGCATCCCGATTTCGGGGGGCATTGCACAATGGCAGATTGTAGATTAGCTTTCTTATCGGGAACGAGGGACATTTACGGGTACAGAGAAGCATATCTGATTCAGATAATGGATACATTCTACATTCCTAAATCACACTTTTCGACACTCATACAGTGTCTTTTTGATAAAAACACGCCGTGCTACATGCGATATGGATAAACGCAAATTTTGAACTGACAAAACAAGTCACAAACGACGTCATATGCTTACACACCCGCACTCTGAACATCAGCCTGCTCGCCATTTACCGCAGCTTCCAGCTTATCCACGACAGAAGTGCCATTCTGTTTCCTTGCATCATGTGTTGGACTTGATCCTGGGGTAGGAATTTCCAGGGTATTCGATCGCTTAGGGCGGAAGGGAATAGGCGTTGTTGGTCTCGACGACAAGAACTGTAATCAGTCAGTATCTCCTTCAGTCCTCAAACCCCGCCACCACGAGACTCACCGAAGAAGCAGCGCTCAACATGGCAATCAGAGACGCTTGAACCACATCCTGGTGGATTCCTACACCCCAGACCTTGTGGCTGCTCTGGGCAGCAGTACATCCAATGTACGTCGCTGCCTTGGCATCCTTGCTCGTACCGATAGTGTGCTCATTATAGTCTACGACATCCAAATCAATACCCAGACTCCTCAGTGCATCAGCCAGCGACGACAGAGCACCGTTTCCCGAACCGCGAATGTTGTGTTCCTGACCGTCAATCTCGATGACACCGGTAAAGATACGGCGGAGATTCTGGGTGCTGACAGTCCTACCCTCTTGCGGCGGTTGAGGAGTGGCTGAGCGATCGGCCTTGATTTCGTAGTCGACAAGAGAGAAGCGGGGGTTGCGCTTGAGATGGTAGGCCTCCTCGAAAAGAGCCGTGATTTCACTAGGCAAAAGCTCGCGGCCAAGCATATCCGTCTCCTTTTGCACAATCTTGGAAAAGGCAATTTGCAGACCACGTGGGAGGTCGAGCTCGAGCTGGCGCTGAATGATCCAGGCAATGCCTCCCTTTCCACTTTGCGAGTTGACACGGATGATGGCTTCGTATGTACGGCCAATATCCTGCGGGTCCAGAGGGAGATATGGGATTTGCCATCGGCTCTCGTTTGTCGCGCCGTTCTTCTTGCGCATCTGGAATCCCTTTTTGATGGCGTCCTGATGTGAGCCACTGAAGGCGCACACGACAAGCTGGCCACCATACGGCGCACGAGGATGGACTGGGATCTTGTTACAGCTCTCGACCATGTCAATGACTGACTTGAGGTCCGAAAAGTCAATCTTGGGATGAATTCCCTGCGTGTACAGGTTCAGGCCCAGAGTGACGAGGTCGACATTTCCTGTACGCTCTCCATTGCCAAACAGCGTGCCCTCTACACGGTCTGCGCCAGCCATCTGGGCCAGTTCGGCAGCCGCAACAGCGCAACCACGGTCGTTGTGTGGGTGCAGCGACACGCAAATCTTGTCCCTCTCGCTAATGTTCTTGCAAAAGTACTCAATCTGGTCAGCGTAAACGTTGGGCGTAGACATTTCAACCGTAGCCGGCAGGTTGAAGATGATTGGGTTCTCGACCGATGGCTCCCATGCAGCCTTGACCGCCTCGCAGACCTCAATGACAAACTCTGGTGAAGAGTCTGAAAACGTCTCTGGCGAAAACTCGTACGACCAGTGGGTTCCAGCCTGCTCTGGGTCGTCCTTTGTGATGGATCGCGCGTACTTTGTGCACTCGACGGCAAGAGCGATTGTCTCGTCGTTGTTCATGTCGAAGACAATCTGCTGGAAGCACGGGCTTGTGGCAAGGTACAGGTGGAGGATGGCGTTGCGAGCGCCCTTGAGGGAGTCGACGGTTCGGCGGATGAGCTCCTTGCGGCAGGGCGAGAGGACCTGTATGGCGACATCGTCGGGGACTATGCCGGGCGTCTGGATGAGGCGTTGTGTAAAGTCAAAGTCAGTTTGCGAGGCCGAGGGAAACGAGACTTCGATTTCCTTGTAGCCAAGCTTGACGAGCATCTGGAAGTAGTCCCATTTTTGCGCTCCGTCCTAGGGCCCGTGTTAGTGCAGGTTGTTAGGTGCAGCGGATGCAGACATACCATGGGGTCGACTAGACTCTGGTTGCCATCTCGCAGATCGGTCGACAGCCAACGCGGTGGCTTGTCAATAGTCTTGTTAGGCCATGTCCTGTCCGGCAGATGCAGTGGCTTAAACGGCTGGTACTTTTTCCATGGCTCTGCAAGCATCGGCATGTTGAAGTGTGGTCGCACGGATTGCTTTTTTTTTTGCGAGTCAAAGTCAACTGGCTCACGCCAAGGGGCGATGATTGAGTTTGTATGAAGTTGGATGAGAAGACGAAGATGTCCAGAGGGTATGTGGTGAGGATATATGAAGAGAAAGACGGCAGCGAGATGAGACTAATTAGCAAAAAAAAAAAGACAGTGGTATGAATCACATCCCAGAAGGAAAAAGGAAAAAGTTTGGTGCTCGGTGATTCAACGCGCCTAAGCCGTCCTGTGAATGGCATATGACGATGCGGGGCGCAGAAAATCGCTTGCGGCCTGTGCTCTCCAATTGCGGGGTCCGATTTTCGGCCTGGCGTCCATGACTGCTACCCGGCCAATCCGAGGATATGTATCAATTGCATACGAGACGTCGCGAGCATTGCACGGGACAGAGACGACGACACCAACCAACTGCATTGTGCATGGCCAGCCGACGACGACATTGGCCGCAGAGAGTGTCAACACTTTGGCCTGCGGGCTGTGTGAGTGGGAATGCAAATCAGGACAAGGCCGAGCGGGTATTCCAGGAACGCCGTCTAGCGCAGACTCCAATTCGACACCAAAGACGCCGCTGGCTACAAAAAATAACGCCGGCATCCATGTACATACATACATACATGCGTACAGACAGACAGACAGACAGACAGATGGCTGTTTCACCGATCCTGATCCCGGCCTAGAACACAGGCACCCTCAACCCACAGCAGTCAATCTCGCTGCCCTTGATCCCAACAGTGCGTCCAAAGTAGAGGCTGCTAAACTCCTGTATAAACGCCCGGTCCGCCTCCGACCAGGTGTCGAGTCCCATGCGTGACAGGTCGTCCTGGTCGATAATCAGTGCCTTGCTGTCATCGTCGTCGTTGTCGTCGTTGTCGCTGTCGCGCTCGCCCTGCTCGTCGGCCTCGATGATTTGCGCCAGAGACTGGATGAGCAGCGAGGACTGGCGGTGAAAGTATGCGATAATTGCTGTTTCCAACGACTGAGAGTACTCGGCCAAGTCGCCAATGAGCTCCCGATCCGCCTCGTGCTCTGCAGTCGCGTATGCATCCCTCTCGCCCGCCGACGCCCACCACATGTAGCCCATGTATGCAAGCCGTGACCAAGTCATGGGCTCAACAACTGTCTCGTCGTACGCTTCGTTGAAGTCGTCGTCGGCGCCTTGGCCATCCATCTCGTCGCGTGACAGTAGCGGAGCCGTGTCGTCGTTTTCCTCGTCTGTATACGCCTCGGGTGCCGTTTTTGACCGGTTGCGCTGCTTGTACAACTCCCTATGTAGCATTTTGTAGCGCGAAACGTCCCGCTGGCTAGCCTTGATGAGGCTGCCGTCGCTCGTCCGTACCCGTGGCCAGCGTCGTTCTTGCGGCGGCGCATCGTACGTGTGTGGAAGCTCGACGATAATGTCATACAGCTTAGTCTTGGTAGTTATGATTTCATCCGTCGTGCATGCCACCCACCCAGCCGACGCCTCAGCGCCTGGAGTGTGTCCGCCATGCTTTGGCTTGCTTAGGTCTTCGAGGTATGGGATTTCATGCACGCCGACGGAGAAGAGGCAGGGCAGTCGTAGCAGCTCCTCTGTGCCGGGCGTGAGGAGCTCCGTGTCGCGTGGTGATATGCTTGAGAGAATGGAGAGATTGTACACTGGCAGCGTCAGCGTCGTGATCAGTCAATGCGCTGCAGAGCCATGGAAAACATACCAAATTCGCAAGCCGTCCTGACAGGCGGAATGCCGACAAACAGTATCCTCTTCCTCAACAGCGCAGCCTGCTGCAGCCGAAACACCAATGGCCCAAACACATCCAGAAACCGCTGAATCGACAGTGCAGGATGATACTCGGGCAAGCTCTCCTCGTCCTTGAGCGCTGCGCTGACTGTCGAAATGGCGCGTTCCCTACTATGCCCCTTTCCCTCTCCCTCGCCATCCTCACCCCCATACCCCCGCCGCTCAACCTGCTCCCTCCAAAACTCCTCCAATGGCGCCACCGTGTCCGCATCTTCAGCCAGCGCCGCCGCCATCTTCTCCAACCTCCCCGCAAGCAACCACGCCCGCCCCAACCGCCCAAACTCGCCCTCCTTTTTCACAAGCACCCCTACAGAAATGAACTTGGCATTGCGCTCCTCATCCCCCGCCTCCCCCTTTGCAAACGCGCTCAGCCCGGCATATCCCTGGTGCGTAAAGTAGACGAGATCGCTCTGCACAGAATGCAATCCCGACGGCAACGATTTATATTCCACCGCGTTCTCGAGCTCGATGTCTGGCGTCGCTGTGCGTTTCCAACTCACGGTGTACCTAGCAATGCCGTTGTGTCAGTCGCCCAAGTAGCTCATCCAGGTAACTATGTAACTCGGCAAACAGGAGGTCTCGAAAAGCTGGGAAATGACGTACCCGACTTTCTTGTCGAAGCGGATCAAAAACAGCGCCTCGACGCTCGGCGCGTCCCCGCTGGGCGACTCGCCGGATGTCGTGCTCGACTCGCGCGAAGCAGACATGGTGGTGCTGCTTGCGAAGGGGAATGCGTTGCGCGGCTGCAAGCCCGCTTGATGCAACGGGCGGCGGCCGGGGGGGCGCGCGGTTTCGCTTGCGAGGTTTGGGGGGGGGATCCACTTGCCGTTGCTGCCGGATGACGGATTGCAACCGTTTCTAGAATGTGCAATGTAACAGTGGCTTGTGTTTAAAGTAATTTGACTTTCTCCTAGTATTGTTATTCAAGGAAAATATAAATACCAGGCCATCATGTGATTTTAAGGCATCTATTAGTCATCCCATATATCTGTCTTTCCCACAAGGCAGCAATCTTCCAGTTCATTGTGGGAGATGTGCGTGCATTGATGATTTCCATTCGCTACTAGAGTCTATCTGAAGTAGCTGGGTACAGTGATTTTGGCTTAGAAAACGGTACAATAGCTAGTAATGAAGGAGAAGTGAAGAAAGTTTCTTCGGTGCAAAAACTTGAAAATCTTTTCTCTAGTATCTCAAAATCCGAAGAGAAATTGGGTCTCATGCTGAAATAGTCCTCAGTATGTAGGAGTTTTTTTTTCCAACTTTGGAGGGAGAAAGAAAGAAACATGTCAATGCAGCGAAAGCTTTATAAAACAGTACGATTGGGTATTATCAGCCAGACTCGAAGTCATCTCGACCATAGGGCACCATCCACCTCCTCATCCCACATCCTCCTAGTCTCGAATTTCCGCACACCCCCTAAACCTTTACCTCAGCATTCTCCACCCTCTCCGGACTTTGCTCCAGCCCCGCCCCCTTCTCCCCAAACCGTCCCCTCTCCGCGTTCCTCGTAGAACTATACTCAACCCTCGTTCTGTACGCAGGGGTCTTCGTCATAAACATCTCCTCTACATCCTCTAGCGTCTTCCCGGCCGTCTCTGGGAAAAGCAAAAACGTATGGATGGCCATTGCAGCGCAGAAGCAGCCAAAGATGAGGTAAACCTTCCACTGGATATTGACAAAGGCTGGGGGAACAAAGTAGGATAGTGCAAAGTTGAAGATCCAGTTTGCAGAGGTCGACAGCGCAACGGCTTTGCCGCGGATACGGAGAGGGAAGATTTCAGGGGGGTAGACCCACGATGCTGGACCCCAGGTAGGGGCGTAGGAAGCGACAAAGAGGTAGGTGCAGGCAATTACGGCTTTGGCTGGGGCACCGCCAATTTCCCAGGATTGTTCGGCAATGTTATTAAGGCCACCAGGGGGAGCGGGCTTGCCGTACGAGGCCATGAGGCCGGCGTTGGCAAACATCCACGCCATCATGAGTGTGGCGCCAATGACAAACATGGGGCGGCGGCCCCAGCGGTCCATGAAGAGGAGGGCGGGTACAGTCATGACTACGTTGATGACGTATTGAATGGAGCTGGCGATTAGATTGGCGTTAGAACTGAGACCTGCCATACCGAACACGTATGTGATATAGTACCTGTAAGATTGTCAGTCTGATAATGAGCGAATGCGGTTGGTTGCTGGATACTTACATCATAACGTTCATTCCCGTAAGTTGGGACCAGATCTGGGTAAAGATGCCAATATGAAGGCGGTTAATCATATTGGGCTTGAACAACTCCATAAAAGTGACATCGGCGTTCTGGCGTTCGAATTCAATCGCCTGGCGAATCTCATCCATTTCGAGCTTGACAAACGGGCTGTTGGGATCGCCCTTGCCGTGAACCAGGACAAGAACAGCCTGGGTCTCTTCCCAGCGGTCGTGACGAGCAAGCCAACGTGGGGATTCCGGGAGAAAGATGAGACCGAAACCAAGGAGAATGGCGGGGACCATCTGCAGGGCCCATGGGATACGGAAGGCTTTGGGTCCATCCAAGAAAGTGCAGCCGTAGGAGATGTAGAACATCAAGAGTATTCCCCAAGTGATAGACCACTACATTTTGCGAAATACGGTCAGCAAATGCTCAAAACGTGTCGTGGATGGTGTGGGTTGTGAAGGCTTACCTGTTGACTTCCGACAACGCGACCACGTCGAGACGGAGGCGCTAGCTCGGATATGTAGACGGGGACTTGGGCAGAGCAGATACCGACAGAGAGACCGTTGATAAAGCGACCGACAATGAGCATGGCAATGTTCTGGGCGGCACAAGAAATTATCGATCCGATGACCCAGATGACGCAGCCGATCTGGATCGCGCGACGACGACCCAACTTATCAGTCAGATATCCAGATAGGAGAGCACCAACAAAGGAGCCGCCAGGCATACTATTTTGTGTTAAAACCATACCATAATTGTCCCGATGAACACCTACGATGCGGTGATACCACCCTGCACATCAGCCTTAGGTCCAGAGCAAGCATCCTCGGGCCCTGTGAAAGGCGGACCCAATGGTCCTTGATTGAAGTAGCAACGATATTGTTGAGTCGGTAAACTATCGTTGTCAGCATCTCAATCTCTCTCAAGCAGTCGGAAATTCAAGGGAGACAAGTAGACATACATAGCGCTCATAGAACTAATATCAAACCCAAACAACCCACCACCAATAACGGCAATAGCCGTGATACCGTAGATATTCCCAATCTGATACATGATCGTGACGTCCGTCTCGAACAAGCGCAGTTGAAAGAAGAAACAACCAACAAAGCTAACGCGGGCACGCGGCGAGACTTATATATCCTTCGCTGTCCACACCCCGCCAGCCAGCCTAGGAACCACAAACGCGGGCAATAGCCAGGTCCCGGAAAACGCCAAACGTGGGAGCCCCGCAAGCGGACATTTGACTCTGTCCCGGCATTGGTAATGCTTTGGTCGCGGGGGCTCATCGGGGCACCCACACCGCAGGCACACAAAGATGAGGTGCGGCTACTGATGTGATACCAAGCTTGGTATAGCCTCCGGGCAGCCAGTCAGTGATTGGGGAGAGCCCAAGCAACAACGTGGATCTCGCGGGGCGCAAAGAAGAAATGTCAAGCCCCGACGCGACCAGGATGATTTAGTGCTTGTCGTTGCGACTCGTGGCTTGAGGATTGATGCCGAGGCCACTGGCGACGGGCGGCGGGTTATGGAAAGCAGGGGGGCGAATTCAGATGTCCGCCTTGTGCATGATTAGGGAAAAAAAGCAGGGCTTCGATCGATCAGAAGCCCTGCCTATCTGCCGTACAGCGTTGTTGGGTCGGTACCGTGAATCTGCTGCCATTTGTTTACTTGCTTCCCCATGGCCGCGCGTGTATGTCGATGGTCGGGCACCTCCGCACTCTCCGCAAAAAAAAACGTGCCCCTTTCTCTCCAGACTCCAGACTCTCCAGACACCCACAGTTTCTCCTCTCATACGCCCCTCCCCCTCCCCCCATTCGATATTGATTTTTTTTTCTTCGCGCGCAAGACGAAAGTGGGCCTGGTTGCCAATTCGCGCAGCGTGTGTGATGAGGTTCCCACTGATGACGTCGGCAGGTTGCGGTTACAAGCAAGGTGTGGCCAATCAAGTGGTTGTGGTCCGCTTTTACGAGTGGATCCATGTTGCAGTCGGCGTTGGACGTTGGAAGCGCCTCCCGTCGAATCCACATCTCAAGCTTTGCGCCGAGGCACGCTTGAGGCTGGCGTTGCCTGGTGTAGCATGGATTTATGGTGGTGGTAAGGCTTGGTCAAGTCTTCTACGTCGTGCCTTGTATCATCATTGGGTTGCGATTCGTATCGCTTCATCGTACTCATAACTGGTGGGAAGCTAGGTTCCCCTCGATACTATCCCCGCCACCACGTATAGACAAGGCGGGCGTTGCATGTTGCATGCGCTCGTGTTTCTAGCGCATATCGACAAGATGCAGAAAACTGGGTACTGCGTGGTAGTTAGCACATAGCTCCGGTGCAAGAGTGGAGTCCACCACACACACTTAGTGAGGAGAAAGACATGCGGAGAAGAAGGGGAAAAGGAGGGGAAGGGGAAAAAGGAAGATGTCTTTACATCTGCACTGCAACATCAAGCTGTCCCATCTAACCTTCAGCCGTTGTATACACCAATGTTGTTGCGTAACTCTACTCGTGTTCACCCGTCTGTCGCGGCTCCACATCCGACATGATGTCCCATGTTCCTTGTCCATGAGGCCTAATCAAGCAAAGCGGGTGCATTTCCCAAGCAAGTCATTGTGCTGCCGATCAAAAGCTTACTTGGAAACCCAAGGCCAATGCATTTCGAGCATGGTAATGTTCTAAGGTCTCACCTTTTGGACCATCTACGACCAATCTCCAACATCTCAGCGACTCCCATGCATCAGCCCATGTCGATTAAACAAGCGTGAAGTCGATTTCGTGGTCGAAAGACCATAATTATACATTCGGAAGCACCCCATCCGGGGGTACCATTACCAGGCCGGACCGTCTGAAGCCTGGCGATAACGAAGTCACGTACTTGCCAGTGTTCGATACAAGGAGCTTCCAGGGAAAAGCTCTAAAATAAGAGTGAACTTGACGCATAATATTCAGCGTAAGCGTCATCTGGGTATATTTGATCCGGTGGTGCAAGCAGAGATAAGTCGCCAACAGCTTTCGTGCCGAGCCGAAAATCGTAGTCCCACACGCTCGCTATTATAGCGAGTCTAGGACTCAAAGTATGTAGTTAGCAATGCTTTGATAGATTAAGTCCCCGCAGCATTGATTGTGGGTCGTTTGCCATACTAGCCGTCGCTATAAGTCATCATGGTTTCTTGAAGTGTACTTATCTTCACAGTTCTCGGGTGAAGAGATCTCGCTGCCTAGAGCACCGATCGAGCGCCTAGCCATAGATCCGCTGGCGTGTAATCAGGTCGCACCAGCATTGGACCCACCGCAGAGAATTCACGTAATGGAACTTCTTGCACAAGGTCGAGTGTTTGCCAGTATTCGCTCACAGAAGTGCATAGAAGCTTTGAATCAAGTCCACGCGCATGGTCATCGAGTGAGTGGTAAGGACGATCTTCCTTCTCACATTTGTATCCGTACCAGAATTTAGATGAAAATCCTAGCCCAGGATTGCATAAGAATGCAAGTACTAGCTTTAATCCTCATAACACATATAGCCTCCTGACTGATCCATGCTTGGGTGTACCATCTATCTTTCCAGGCTTTATGGAGGAGACTGAGGATATGTTCGCAGCACTGAGGTTTCATGATAATTTGTGTCGTTTCTCAATTAGAGTGCAACATAGTAAATATTAATCAGTATTCGGATGTGTTGTTCAATATTACATTTATAAATCGTTCTGTTTTAGGTGCCTAGAAGTTGCTACAAGCTCTATTCTAAGTTTTGGCAACACGAGATTGGAAAAGAGATTATATTGAAAAAGTAGGGAAAGAAAACCACAGGGCGTTAAACGCGATACTATGAGTTCATTGCCTTTGTTCTATCGTTTGGTATAGATGTAACGAACAAGGCCTGATTTCATTGTACAACATACAAGGCACTAGTATTATTCTTAGTTGCAACTTAGATTTTTATTTACATCTATCAATACATAGAGAAGCATAGTACGATAGTAACACTAACTGGCTCAAGATATCTAGAAAGATGACTACAGGATGTCTCGGACAGTATTCACAAATGGCCATGCACCGTCTTATGCTGATGAAAGGGCGGCTGGACGGTTGTAGTAGACGCAGCCTCGCTCGACACTGTCGCAACACTCATGCTAAATGAAATAACTTTGGATGTTTCACTACTTGACGTCATACTCTCGTCAAGCATATCCGCCGCGATTCCCATCGCATTCGCAGTAGGCACCGTAGTAGCTCCCCACGGAGCCACATATGATGTGTACGTTGGCTTGAAACCGATTGTACTCACGCAATAGTCATAGCCATATCCAATACCAGAGCCTAGTAATATGTTAAGTCGACGATTCAGATCTTAGAAAATGATTGTTGAACATACAGTTGTTGAACACCGCGGGGTTCCAGGCAACGAAGCGCCCATGAGCAATGCCATTTGCTTGTTCAATGAGACCGCAAGGATTGGAGAGCCCTGAAAAAATTAGCACTTGAGCAGATGCTTCAGCGGGATTTCCTATACGTACGGCCAGTTTCATTGGCCGTGACAAACTTGCTACAAGCCGCAAGAATTCCGGGTTGGCGGAAGTGACGCGCCATCACGCAGTAGGTACGTCCTTTCTCAAAACATTAGTCCCTTGTGCTTTCGCAATAACAGCGGGCTGGAAACTAACCTGGCATCCAATTCTCACAATTAGGTCCGACCCCTGGATTCCAATCATTCAATCTCTTCGAATCAATCGCCCACAATGCTACGAACTGCTGACAACTCATCCCGTATGTAGCAGTGTCCTGAAGGTTACAGTATTGAGTCATACTCGATGTGAAATTCTGTTTCATGCGCTGTACGCAGTATGTAAGATTTCCATTTAGCATGCAAGGATCATTCAGCTGATTCCACTCTGCAATGTCTGTGGCATTCACGCCGGCATCCTTGGCGACGTCTGCACATGATGCACTGGCGCCAAAGTCAGAACCATTGACGTACGTGATACAGTCGAGGCGCGTCCCGTTTCCGTATGTGTAGTGCCATTCATCGCTACCGTTGATGAAGCCCGTGTTGGTAGGACGAGGAAGAAGACTGGCAACAGTGCCTGGCATGCTTGAAAGACTGCACATTGTTAGAGATACGATTCCGCCGTACTCGACAAAGTAAGGCCACTTCTTTGGGATTACTTACGGTGTTGTCGCCTCAGAAGTAATGGGCACTGGGCTCGGATTGACCCAGTCTCCCCCTGGAGTAGATATACATATTGGATACCCAACATAACTCTTCACCTTCGTACAATCCTCACCAAACACCGGATTCCAAGAGACGATCTGAACCCATGCTACCTTGTTTGCATCAGCAATCTTGGCACACGTATCGCCGCTCTTCACAGTATATGTTTTGCACCTTTGATTAGTGGGTATGCAGAGTGTTCCTGAAGTCGGAAAATTTGCGCAAAAACCCTGGAGGCCGTTGGCAGTGAGGAGACTGGCAACGCTTATGCCGCGGGAAGCGGCAACCGATTGGCACGTGTCTCCACTTCGAATTGTATACATTGCACCCGTACATGTCGTGGGTGTTGGTGTGGTTCCCGAAGTTGTTGTCCTGCTTGATGTTAGCGTGATCGTGGTGGTGTGGGTTGTACTCACGATGTAATCCATGCGGTCGAGGAGGCTATTGGTGTGACAGCAAAACCTGTCTTCTTGCAAGCTGAAGTTAAAGACGTGAATGTTTTTGCCATGTCAGAATTTGACAAAAGTGGCATCTCCAGGCGTGTTTGCATCTGCTTCAAGAAGCAGTCGTCGCATGTAATGGTTGAAGCTGTATTGGTGGTAAGCTCTAGTTGGCAAGCTTTTTTGGAACTATGTACCTGCTGGCTTGGTCTGTGATTGATTGTCAGGATTGACACCAGCTGCATCTCGAACAACGGCATTACAAAACTTGTCACTGCAGTTGTCAGCCTTCACTGTTGCTCGAACTTTGCTTGTCCTTGCCTTACCCGTTCGTCTGGCATAGCAGATTGTAATTCTCTAGCACAGACTCTACCCAAATAGCAGGAAGTACAGCATTGCCTTGAGTATCCACATATCGCGTCGTGCATGCACCAAGTGCTCTCCTCAACCACGTCGATAGTGAGGTCGTACATGCTGCCGTACATAAGGCTTTCAGAATGTTGTCCGCTTCATGTCTCCCCCGACCCGCCCATCCAAGTGAAGAGTCACAATTTTGCGCTTGGTTGAGAACGGCGACGCAAGTTGAAGAAAGGTTAGTGAATGCAGTAGTGAAGTTGTACAATTGAATCTGAGCGAAAACAGAACTGGTATGAAGCAGTAATAGTAGCCTCCTGCCCAACTGAGAGGGTCGCATTTTGTTGAAAGTCTTTGTCTTGAATGAAAAAGTTTGGCCAGGTTAAGCAAATGCAAACGCTTGTGTTAGAGGGCGGTAGAGCGTATCGTCGAAGGGCCTCGTAAAGATTCTGTAAATACAAGCTTCCGATCGCAGGTCCGCAGCAACGCAAAATCCTCCAAGCACGCCTTGCGACATGTACACCTTGTATGACAGGGCTAACGATCTGTCTCCATATGTAAAGGTGGGGTCGTATGTCCTGTATTGTGGCTCTCTAAGATTACGCTACGAACATATTCTCCCGCACTTTAGGACTGCTACACGCGACGAACTGAACGCCCGTTTGTGTGACCCTTTAATTTGGTGGTATTAGAGAAGCATCCTTGGAACCACCTAGACGGTAGTCTATTTTGACATCATGCCGCAGGTCTGGTTAGACTGGGCCTATTTTGATCCTACTTGTGCCGCTGATATGCAGGTACGCGGACGGAGCGGTTAATGTGCGGGAAGTTATCTATTAGACGAATTAGTAGTTATAGGACCATGAGTTTAGCGACGACATTTCTGCGTAAGCCCTAGGTAGGACGCCTTACCTATCAACATCACTTCAATATCGAGATCAAATCTGATTGGACAGTATCTCAAGCCATCAGTTGGTCATAATCTCTCTACTCCTTTCCCTGGTCGCATCTCTCAGGCGCAGGCACCCCGGCAGGATTCATTTGTAGATCCTGACAACTGTTATGGACGGAAAAATGGGTCTAAATGTAGTAGCAGGTGCTGTGCGATGGCTAATATATTGAACAATACAGTGATTTTGTTCATTTTCTCAATACCCGCCGCCTATATCGCAGATTCCGATTTGCTGGGATTCCGTTCCTGCTGCAGTAGCGTACTGCTGCGCGATCCCAGGTCAGAGCGCCTTTGCAGGTACCACATGATTGCCATCTACGTCGTGAATACTGGTATCCGACCATATACATGGCATGAGGTCAGCAGGAATGATACAAGCCATCGACGAAAATAGCGGCTGGTATCTGCATTCATAGACAATCACCAACACAGCCTGAATCCATGGTGCCGACCACGACGTGCTCTGCATTGGTTAGATGTAAGGCCGACCACCTAGACTTCACTCGGTGTAGAACGTATCTTCTGACCTTCTGTCAAGCGAAATTGTATACGGGTGGCAATGATGATCGTGATTGAGGATGGCAACAGATTCCTCACGATCTTTCCTCGGGGCGGTTAAAAGACGTGTTGGGTGACCTCGCAGCGATAATCACAGAATTTGCTCGTTTCTACTTGTTCATTCCAAATTACATTTGTTTCAAGGCGAATTGTTGCCACTATGAGATCAACAAGCTTTAAAGCCATCCTCGCTCTTGGCGCCCTGGGTTTGGCAAGCGCGTATCTTGTGGATCCACCAACAACAGCGGCATCAGATACCGTGTCGGATTGTAGTGGCTGGGTGATAATAGCATCCAGCGATACTTGCTCATCTCTCGCGACGGAAAACTTGATTAGTGAAGTTCAATTGAAGACATACGTATGTTCATAGTAGACATAATTTTAGACAAGTTCTCAACAGTGACAGAACCCATCGATCGGCACGCAATGTAAGCTTGTCATTGGCAACTCCTACTGCATCGAGCAAAATTGGGGAGTACCGCCGCCAACGAAGCCGACTTCTTCATCGACGTTGGCTCCATCGCCGACCAATGGCGTTGCAACTCCGTCTCCAATCCAATCTGGTATGACTTCCAACTGCAACAAGTTCCATCTTGTTGTGAGTGGTGATGGCTGCTATGATATAGCATCAGCTTACTCCATCTCTCTGGATGACTTTTACGCCTGGAACCCAGCAGTCGGCAATGAGTGCACAAGCCTCTGGGCCAAGACCTATGTTTGCGTCGGATTAATCGGCAGTGCACCTACAGCAAAGCCCACCATCACCTCCGCTCCATCTACGACGGTGAAGCCAACCAGCACTGTTGCGACGTCCACTGGCAATGGTGTTACAACACCCAAGCCCGTACAGCCAAGTATGGTTCCGAATTGCAACGGCTTCTATCTTGTCAAGGCTGGAGATGGATGCTATGACATTGCTGCTGCAGCAAGCATTCCTCTTGACCAGTTCTACCAGTGGAATCCCTCAGTTGGAACCGACTGCTCGAAGCTATGGTCTGGTTACAATGTCTGTATCCGCACCATTGGGTTCACTGTACCGCCATCTTCAACGATCAAGACCTCCACGATCCCAACCACGACCAAGCCAGCTTCCAATACACCTACTCCAGTACAGCAAGGCATGATCGCAAATTGCAAGAAGTTCTACAAGGTCGTGGCTGGAGACGGTTGCTGGGACATTGCCAACAACAACAAAATTGCCTTGGATAACTTTTACAAGTGGAACCCGGCTGTGAAGTCGGACTGCTCTGGCCTGTGGGCACAATACTACGTCTGTGTTGGTATTTAGTGTGCAGGTGATTCGTCTACACCTCTGATGGGTGGCCGTCCCTAACTGTGTACTTGACTAGGTAATCTTCTGTTGGAGATGATCGTTGTGGAGATGATGAATTTTTTGCTTTTGATTTGTTATAATATTTAAATTTTCACTAGCAATGCTATGTATGCTGTTAAGTGCGGCCTTCCTTTGATCATGTGGCATGCGAATGTATACTTTTCATAAGGGGTTGAGAACTTGCATTGCGGGACTTGAAGAGATATGACCTGTAACAATACCTAAGGCTTTTGGCACGTAGAATAATCGCTCCCCTGTGATCAATGTCACGTGTCGCCCCGTTGTCAGTCTACACTAGCGATCTATTGTTGGCCACGATTGGCCAAGACACGCTTGCAGCATATAGATACGATCATAGGGCATCTCGAAGTGTGAACATTTAAAATATGATTGCTGATTGAACTATTGAAACCAAAGAAGGTTTAGGTAGTACAATATCATTATAGTAACGACAGGTTAGTTAGGGAAAGCATGACTCTGATAAGTGATTTCGCAGCATGCGAAATTGGCTGCCGAGGTACTCATCCAAACCAGTCCATACCTGGAGTTTCTTGATCGGCTCCACTAGGGCAAACTCCGCGCTTTTGCAAATTATACCATTCGGATTTAGCCTGCTCCATTCCCCCTGTGAGTATCAGCTCTGCTTGCTTCTTCTTCAGGGCCTCGGCAATCCTTATTGCCATTGCAGCGACTTCCTTCTCATCTTTGTCGTCTTCTGATACTGATCGAACAAAGCGTGTGTTCTCGTCCGAAGGTGGCGCGCCAGCATCACCTTCACTAGCATCGCTGGGTTCTGGCTCATTCCTGAATGCATAACCTGTTCGGTCGAATCGCCTCATATCTCCAACGCGTATCACTGTAAGCTTTGTAACTACACCCTGATTGTAGCGCTTCTGAAGTTCAGGAAGTTCATCGTAGAGCCAAATAGAGGGAGTGTCAAGAGCGTGAGTGTACTGTTTCTTGAGCATCTTTTTGTTGTCCAGCATGACGAACACTTCGCCAGTGCATGTCATAGCCATGGCTCGCGACATAGCCTTGAAGTACTTCATACCGTTATCCTTCCATTGCGACTTTTCACCGAGGAGGCCGTTGAGCCAGCAGCACCTGGGGTTCGAGTAGTCCAAGCAGTAGTAATTCTGCCCAGTCTCGCAGCTATCACGCACGTCACCTTTCTCATTAGGCCACAATTGCTGTAAAAGCCACATCAGAAAGGGTCCCCCCCAAGTTTTTGACAACTTACCCAGATAGTGCGATAGAATTCCTGCCTGATAGCGGGCTGAAGACAACCCCAGTCAGTAGTCCAGCGCGACAAAGAGGCGCCTCTGTAATCTGGGTTGTCTTTCAAAGCCTTTGAGCGTTGTCCATAGAATAAGCATTGCCCAAATGTAGCTCCCCATTTCATTCTTTGGATCATCGATTCAGGGGTGAATTGACCAAGGTTGACATTGGAGACTGATCTGGCCTTCTTTCCGCAGAAAAGACATGGGGTCTTGATGAGTGGGCCGTATGTTTGACGCTAGAAAGGGGAGTTGTCAGTAGTGAGGAATGACTGATCCATCCAAGACATTCGTACCGCTCGCTTCCCCAGTTTCGATTGCAAGCTATATGTTATAACCTTTCCACCTGTTTTTGTTGGCACTGCATCGTCGTTCTTGATTCCTTTCCAAAGATAGCGATCAAGTTCAGGGTCCTCGGCTGAAGTGTTCACCATCATATTGTAGTGGAAAGGATGGAGATTCAACGATCTTGAACCAAGCTGCAGCAACTCTTCCTGATGCGCAAACGAGACGGAGGTGCATAGAAGCAGCCATAGTATAAGGAAAGCCATAGTATAAGAACTGAAGGCGTCAATTAGGAAACTAGACCTGAGCCTCGCAATGCTGAATCGAGGGTAGAGACAGACTCGAAGAACGCAAAATGATGGACGTAAACAAGACTTTCGAGACCATAGGATTTCTCTCTTCAGAAGTGAGATTGTGCGCGATTGTCAGCTGGAAAATGCTTGCATAGCCCTCCTGACGGCCGGGGCCGTCTAAAGTTTGGCTTGATTGCCTCTTTCCAATATTCCTTTTCGTTGAGATCTCGCGGACTGAACGCCTAATCGCAATATTAGTCCATATCCAAATCCTGCATTATTATTATTATTATTATTATTATTAATTAACGTCCTGTCTCAGCTGGTAGGCTATATAAGACGTGCAGGCTAGGCCTACAGGTAACTACGTAGTG